TAACCCTAAACCCTCATGAACCCTGCAACGGCCCCCTCCCATTGGTATCCATTGATGTTGCTGCTAGCATGTGGCGATGGCTGTAGTCGTAGTGGTGATGCTGGTGGGGGCGGCGGTGGTGTTTGGTGCGGCAGCCGCCGTACATTGGTGCCCAGAACATTAGCAGCAGCAGTTGCAGCAGCTTTTGCAGCAGGAAGAATCGTAGGTCTTCGTCAGCATCGTTGTGGTGCCGGGGTGGCCGTGGTCAGGATGTGGGTTTAGATGGATTCAGGGTTCAAGGTCATAGTTCCATATTCAAACAGTATGATGAGCAACCTTAATGTGGAGACTGACTTTGTGGAAAAGCACCTGGATCGCTGAGGTTGCAAGTCGCCAGGAGGCCAAATCCAGCTCTTACACGTTTAGGGTTTGGGGCTTAGGGTTGAGAATTCGAAGTTGAGTTGCTTTTAAGAGCTGGCTTCGCTTATGGCTCTACAGCAGCTCGTGTCATGGTTCTGCAACCCTAAACCCTAAACCTTGTTTTCAGGGGAGTTCTTCCCTTGATTTTTTGGTTGCGGGGCTTCAAGGAGCTACCTGAACCCTGTCAGTATGTAAAGTAATGGCCTCTATGGCTGTTAGTATGGGTTTACGGCTATTACTTTACATACTTGCGGGGTTTAGCTACAGACAAGTCAGCGTTAGCCTTGCTGGCGATTAGGAGGGAGTCGCGGAAGGGGGGGGGATGCAAGAGTACTACCTTTATTACCGCTTCCGTTCCCCCTGTAGCACCAGCAAGTAGATCTGAGATTCAGGCGCCAGCTGTTTTTGAAGCCCAGCTTTGGTTTTGAAGGGTAAGTTTCCCTAAGGTCCTTGGACCCTTAGGGTTTGCCTGTTTCTACACGAAGGCTCCTAAAACTGTTTGGGGCTTTCTGGGGCAAGGTTCGGGCTTTGGGGGCTAAGGTTTGGGATCCCATTTTGAAGGTCCAAGTGCCTTATAGGGTTTAGGGTTTAGGGTTTAGCAATACTGGCCTTGGATAAGCCCTGAACTCTACAAGCTACTGTATTCTTGGAAGCTGCAAATCTCCATGACAAGTGCTGTAGCCTCGCATCTTTGGAGTCCCAGCTACTTTCAGGGACCTTTACTGTGGATGGAGGACATCTTGACTGTATAGATACGCAAGTAATTATACCTCAGGTCTCTGGAAAATATACCGGGGATGCCACCGGGCTTCGGTTGCCGGAACCCTGGCGCCTAAACCCTGAACCCCAGCATGATGTGCGCCATCCACCATGGGGACTCGCTCAAGGACTACCAAGGGATCCCATGGTGTCCAAGTACCATTATGAGCTATAGCCTGAGCTCCTTAAAGGGGGTTCGATAGGGCTTAGGGTTTAGGGTGTAAACTCCTTAAAGGGTGTTATACAGGGGAGTATACAGGGGAGTATTGGTAAGGTTTATCATGCAAAATACCAAGAGTTGAGACTATAGTTATTGGAGGTTCTAGGTGGTTAGTTACCCTAAGGGTCGAAGGACCCAAATAGTAAGGTTTTAGGGCCCAAATACCATTCACATTAAAGAATTTGGGCCCTAATACCCCATTATTTGGGTGCTGGGACCCTTAGGGTTAGGCGTGAGTCTTTAGGGGTTTACGGTTTAGACTAGTTTGCTTGCCCTAAGCGTCCACGGCCTCACAGAGGTCAAGGCGTAGACGAGTTTGGGAGGACCCTCCGTTCAAAGACGCCGTGCCCCTTGCATATGAACCTGCAGCTGCACAGCACTGGGACATTGAAAAGCTACGCTGTCTTTGGCAAAAAAGGGTGGTGGAGAAAAAGCGCCGGCGCCGCCGCACCTTGATGAACCAGATGCACCAGCTACGCCATGACTCTAAGGAGGACGACAGTTCGCCTTCAAATCTTCGTAGATACTGAGGATGAGAACTGATCCAACCTTTGGTGGAGCATGTGCAGTTTACGACATGGCGATCCAGAATGATGTAGGGTGGAAAAGTTGAAGAAGGATTTTGTGTTTCATGGTGTTAGGGCTTGCCCAATGCTTCTTATGTAGTTCTTCATTATTGGGTTTGCTATGGGCTTGTGATAAGGATTAAACTATAGTATCCAAAAAGGAACTACATAGGAGGGTTAGGGTTTAGGTGCCCCTGCTTCAAAAGGTCAGGGTTCCAGGCTAGTATGGGGGTGGGGGGTAGACCTTAGACCTCCCCTAGAAGGGTTTAGGGTTTCGGGTAAGCCTAACCTTAAACCTAAACCCTGATTCTTAAACTCTAAACCCAAAACCTTGAACCCAGACCCTAGGCTAGCAGCTCTTGCGTCCCAACAAAGTTCAGGTCAAGGTACCTATCTGGTAGACATTTCGTCCCCAATGTAGAGTTTAGGTTTTAGGCTTTAGGGTTTAGGGTACCTTTGTAGGAACCCTTTGAGTCCCAAGAATATCCTATGCAGTTCAGGGTTTAGGGTGGTACCTGGGGCTGTTCGCTGACTGCTGGTTGTCAGGGGCTGGCGGAGTGGAGATTAAAGGAAGCCGCCTTACAATCTCATATGAACTGCAGTCTAGAGTCCTTAAAGAGTATTATGTAGGAGATTCTATAGTGGGAGTCTAATAGGGGTTATTAAGGGGTATACTAGGAGTTTAGACGATAGCTCATATGATATGTCCCGACGCCTCATAGTCACCAATCCGTACCTTGTAAGCGTCAAACCCTACCCCAAAACCCTCAGCCCTAAACCCTAAGGCCTATAAACCCTAAGCCCTAAAGCCTAACCCCCAAACTCTCAGCCCTGAACCCCTGCGACTTGTGCTAGGCGAGGGCTGCGCGGGTCCGACAGCGACGTGAAGCCGTGGAAGCCCTCCAGGCGTGCGATTTTGTTGATTTTTGTGTTGGGGGCCCTTGGGGGGTATGGGGGCTTAGGGTTTTCACGATTCAGCATTTAAAGCTTAAGGTGCGCCGCCCTTGGGTGCCTTCAACAGGTTCACAGGGGCATCTTAGGTTTGCGTTTTGGGCCCAGTGTTGAGGAGTTCAAGGTTGGAAAGCTTTGATGGCTTAGGTCAAGACGGTCAAAACCCATGAGCCCTAAACCCTACATGCTTACGGGTCCAAATATACAATGATTAGGTAGTCCTTGGGATTTGGGTAATGGTAGTTAGAGTACAGGTTCTGAGCAAGTATATGATGATTTAGTACTTGGACTTGGACCCTTAGGGTTAGGTCCTTGGAGCGGGCTATAGGGGATATGTAGAGGTTATATAGGGTTTAGGGTTTAAGGTTTAGGGTTGAGGATTAGGGGTTAAGGCTTAGGGTTTACGGTTTGGGGCCTAGGGCGTCTTTCAGTGGTTGATGTATACGATCAAGGGGCCCTCTGTTGCTCTCGGTGTATAGATGGACGTGGAATACCGTGCCGATGTTTGTATTACTACAATGCGCAGGGTTTGGAGGGCTTCGTAGGGTTTAGGATTCTTTAGGGTTTAGTGTTCAAGGTTTACGGTTTAGGGTACAGGGTATTCGAGGCCAAAAAACATACAGATTACAGTATTTGGGGCGTAGATCCCCGCTATTTGGGTACTTGGACCCTATGGTATGTGCAAGCTTGACCTGTAAACCCGGCTTGTGAGGCGTCACCTCTTCTAGAGGAGTTTGAAAACTGGTTGGTTAGGAGTTGTCGTCTATGCTCGGAGGCGCTTTCGACTTAGAAAGTCTACCTCCCATCACCCATAACCCCTGTTACAAGCACCACACCGCCCCCCAATCCTACGTAGACCTGCTAAGTTAAGGGATCTTCCAAGAGGTGGGTAAGATGCTTGTGTATTTAAGGGGCTTTAGGGCTTACGGCGGGTGAGCAATAAACTCGTGTCAACTCAGACGTTTTGAGTAGGTTTTGCGCTGAAGTTCTTGGTGATGGGCTTGATGGTGACAGTGTCGGCATCGGATTCTGAGTTTTTTTTGACATATTTGCAAATCCGATTCTGGCGTGCCTTTAGGCCCATGCGGCTATGGCCTTCTGATCGTGGCTCACGCTGCCTAAACCCTACACCCTGAATCCTAACCCTAGCCCTAAAGAAGTCTAATGATGCGAGCTGAAATTCTCTTCTTTCAGGGGTTTAGGGTTTAATTAGGGGCTAAGGGAGTGGCCGTACCCCAACGCTGCTCCCCGACCTCATGAGATCGGACGAGCCGCGCTCGCCCAAGGTGGTTCGTGTTTACATGAGCCCTATTCCAAACTCCTCAAAGGGCGTTTTAAGGGGGATTCTAGGAGTTTGGATTATAGCTCATATGGGTTTATCATGCGGATAGCTAGAGTCCTAACCAATTTTTCGGGACATATAACATCCACTTCTAGTCACCAAAGAACCTACTCCTACATTGCCGTAATTTGTGGGACCAAAGCTTCGATTTGTGCTTGACCTCCTGCAGCCGGCTCTTCACCTCCGGCGTCTTCGTCAGCTATCACAAAGGGTCCATGTAGGTATATAGTATATAGTTATGGGGCCTCAGTATATACCTACATAGACCCTGTGGGTAGCGCGACAGGAGTGGTGGAGTCGCCCATTGCTGACCAGCAGTCGCCCCAAGAGCTTCTCTCGGAAGGAGCTTTCTAAGCGCGCTGCGATGCCGAAAGCCGTGTTCCCGAACTCGCAGCTTCTGGCCTCTACAACCAAGTGGGGGTCCGTAATTTACAATTATCATGTACTCCCCAAGACCTGAATCACGATTACTATTATATAAGGGCCCCCGAAGCATCATGGCGCTTAAGACCCTAAATGTACAGCCCCAACCCTGAGCCCACAAACCTAAACCCATGACATGCTGGCCCCCCTAAACCCCAAGCCTTAAACCCGTTAGGGTGAAGTGCGAAGGCCACTCGGGTGGATGGTCTTCTCATCGTGGCGGGCGATGACGACGCGGAGCTTGCGGCAGAGGCTTGTCAAAGCCGTACCGTGAAAGAGCACACAGCCTACCTAGACCCAAGTGTGTGTAGAATAGCAGCCTATTCGTCCCCTATTGGGTGTGTTGGGCCAAAATTTTATTTACTTTGAGCCCCAGCTACGGGCCAGGGTTTAGGGTTCACGCTGCCTGACCTCAGCAGCAATGGTAGCTTGACAATGAGGAAAACAAGTAGTCCTCAATATGATAAACTCGAAGCACAAAATGGCCAGCATTTGATTCGAATAGTTGTCCGGGGTATGTTGCATGTTATACGATAGCTATACCATGATGCAGGTTGTACAGCAGACAAAAGAAAGGTTTTCGTGGCTTGTTACCCAAGGGATCCAAATAGCCCAAAGCAGATGACATTTTTCTGATTGTAGGCCACGAAGACCTGGACCCCAAAAGTAGGCAAAATGATAGCCCAAAACCTTTAGAATAGACCAAAAGGCTATTATTCTGAATGTTTTCGGGGGTTCTGGTATGTATCATGTACCGACTAAGGCCTTGGGTTAGGGTTGTTAAGCGTTCTAGGGCTGATACTTGATCACTGCACTTAGGAACTACTGAACATTTTGCTTTATAACGCTACGTAGAATCTCCCTAAGTGGCCTCAGGGTTGGGTGCTTAGGGGAGAATAAGTCAAAATACAACTAGATGGGTGTAAATACAACCAGATGGGCCAACATACATTGTTTTTTAGAAACAGGTTCAGATGGGGGAAAATTTACAACCAGATGGGTGATAATACAACTCGGGGGCTTTGGGGCTTTATTTGAGATGTGAAGGGTCTTTGGGGCGTTATTTGAGTAGATGTAAAGGGTCTTGCGGGCGTTATTTGAGTAGATGTAAAGGGTCTTTGGGGCATTATTTGAGATGTAAAGGGTCTTTGGGGCGTTATTTGAGTAGATGTAAAGGGTCTTTGGGGAGTTGTTTGAGATGTAAAGGGTCTTTTGGGGCTTTATTTGAGTAGATATAAAGAGTGTTTGGGGCGTTATTTGACATGTAAAGGGTCTTTGGGGCTTTATTTGAGTAGATGTAAAGGGTCTTTGGGGCATTATTTGAGATGTAAAGAGTCTTTGGGGCGTTGTTTGAGATGTAAAGAGTCTTTGGGGCGTGTCTTTGGGGCGTTATTTGAGTAGATGTTAAGGGTGTTTTGGGGGCTTTATTTGAGATGTAAGTGGTCTTTGGGGCCTTATTCGAGTAGATGTAAAGAGAATTTGGGGCTGTATTTGAGATGTAAAGGGTCTTTGGGGCTCTATTTGAATAGATGTAAAGAGTCGTTGGGGCGTTATTTGAGATGTAAAGAGTCTTTGGAGCATTATTTGAGATGTAAAGGGTCTTTGGGGAGTTGTTTGAGATGTGAAGGGTCTTTGGGGCATTATTTGAGATACAAACCGAAATAAGCACCATGAACATGTTATGTCGTCATTCGTGCAAGGGCGCAAAGAGAAGGGACAAATCACAACCACCATTATCCAGCTTTGGTAATGGAACCTTAAGGCTGTGCTATGGGTTTTCTGCAGAGCATGTCCAAACTTATAAAGGCACCGGAATAGCCAGTTGTAATTTCTCCTGTTTGGGAGAGCCCATAACAGTGGTTCAGTTGTGTTTTCCCCCGTGTGGTTGTATTTTTTCCCGTTTGGTTGTAATTAGACCCTGTCGCGTGTTTAGGGCTTAGGGTATAGAATCTCATAGGGGGTAGCTAAACCCTTAGAAGGGTCATAACTCCAGTTGGAAGTAGTGACTAAGTCCCATGAGCCTCCAAATAATGCTTAAGGTCCGGGGCTTGGGATTCTCCAGCGTTCCCAAACTTCACGCTGAGGGCCCTTCATATAGGAAGTTGGAATTACTAAGCCCAGAGGGTCCAGGTGTATCACCATTGTGGATATCGAGATACAAGGGCCCGTAAAGTCCTACCGGCCCTTACCACCCTAACCCCGTCCGTAAGGCCTTCAAGACCCTTAAGCCCTACCACGGCAAAAAATTGAAGCCTTGAGAAACTCCCATGGGCCCGTCTATAACACCGTGAGTTTCGGGTGTAGGGCTTGGTGCCCAGGGTCCAGGATTTATGGCTGGAGACTCAGGGTAGGGAGTTTAAGGTTGGTGTAAGGTTCAGGGCTCAGGGTTGAGGCACGCACCTGAAACCCACAGCTTTTGAGCCTGATGAGGCGACCTCAGACCCAATGTAAGATCTAAAGCGTAGAGAGCGCTAACGAGCTTGGTCTTGTCTTGGGAGGAACAAGGGATTGTGTGGGGAATCATTTTTTGTCCCTTGAAGGGGTTCAGGTCCCGAACCTTGGATGCTGCTCCCAATCAGTGATTATTAGGTCCTTTTTAGTATGCTTATACCCATAAAGATTGTTTCCGGGTGGGGGAAGTGCCAAACCTACCCCTAAGGGTCCAAGGACCCAAATAATAGGGTTTTAGGGCCCAAATACCTTAATGTCAATGGTATCTGGTCCCTGAAACCCTCTTCTTTGGGTTCTTGGACCCTTACATTATAGGATGTAGGATTTAGGTTAAGGTTTAGGACTGACTGACTTGCAGGTGTTAGAGATTGGCCTCGAACGCCTTGCACCTGGCGGCCGTGTCGCTATGCCTGGAACTCAGGGTTCCATGCCACACGGTTTAGGGCCGCGGTTTAGGGTTTACGGGTTTAGGGTTTGCGGTGGGTTTTGGGCTTATATGGCATGCTAAGACCTAAGCACGAAACCCTAGACTAGGCGCTTAGGGGCTTCTGGGATGTAGGGTCAAGACTTGAAAGTCACTTTAGGTTTGAGGGAGATGTATAACACTGCCTCTCATGTGCTTGAAATTCGAATCCTGCATGACCCTAAGTACCCTAGACCTTCGGAACTGTAGGAGATTAGTATCTTAAGTTCATGCATGGTGCCAACACTTCTAACAAAAGGCCCTAAACCCTAAATCCTATACCCTAAACCCTGAACCCTAAATTCTAAATCCTAAACCCTAAACCCTAAATCCTTAAACCCTAAATCCTAAACCCTAAACCCAAACCTTCCCCCAATCCAAAGTAGCACAATGGGGTCAATGTTGAGTGTTACTCCGCTCCCACAGATCATGAACCAGTGGTTTTGAACATGTTTTTGGGCCCCTGTTACGGATTCCAGTAGTTTGCCTACTTCGGGATCCATGAAAACCCTAAACTCTAAAGGGACCCTTTTGAGTGTCCAAGTTCGGCAGAATGCCTCCTCTAGGATACCCTGAATTTAAGTAACGAGCTCCTGAAACCCTGAACGAGGTAGCCTTTCTGGAAAAAGCTGCCAGCTCGATACCAAAACTTTGATCGTTTCCGCACTCCAGACGCATGGGGGCTTCAAAAGACGAACCCCAAACGTATGTAGAATAATTGCCTTTGGGGCTACTTTTTGTGGTTTTAGGCTACTTTCGGGGTCCAGGTAGGGGCTACAATATATTTGGGGCTATGGAAGTAGCGACATAAACTTGCTGCATGCACGACATCTTCGCTATGCTTGCATTAATCCCTAGCTGCCTATATTCAAAAGTTAGCCAAATTTGGCTTAAGATTTGGAAGCACATGCCTAAGCCTAATTGGACCCTCCAATGAAGTACCTTCTGGGGGTTGTGTGTAGGGCCACCCCAAAAACGGTACCACATCGGAGGTTCGAGGAAAACCCGAGTTTCTGTTTTATGCATTTCCTTGGATAGGAATGATAACGAAGACTTTGTGTATCTTCACCCCCCAAGAACAGGACAATGCTTTTTGTCAAATGATGGGTAATCATGTAATCTAAAATTAAAGTTCTAGTTGTTTTTTTTGGGCGTGGGAGGGGTGCACTTAACAGAAGGCTCTCATTTCCCCCCTTTTCTTGGTATATCGCCTTAATTTCTTCCTTCCGTCCTTCCCAGTCACCAGTAAGATGTTTAGCATTCAACTGAAGAAGCCAGTTTTGCTTTTCCTTATGCTTGTGTGTCTGAAGGCTCATACTACGGTTTCGAATTTGACGTTCATGACCCGAAGGCCATAAACCCCAAACCGTGGATAGTAAAACCTAGGCCTGTTATCTCTCAAACGTACGAACTAATCCTGGAACATCGAATTTCAAGCACACCCAAGACAAAGGTTTGGACATCACCTGCAGCAGCTCGGCGCAAGGTTTAGTCTGGGGATCAGGGTTTCAGTTTAGAAAATATCGAGTTCAGGGTTTAGTTAGGGTTTAGGGTTTCTTGTTACGAGTAACCCTGAACCCTAAACCCTGTAATGTCTATGGAAATGGGAGGAGGTAGGAACCCTAACTATACCATCACTAGTTGATTCGTCGGGAGATCACCTAATTTATGATGGACAAGCTCTACTGCGACTAGAGATCGACTATGGGTTAGTATGTATAGTTCCCTTGAAGCAGATGAAATATGGCTTTGGGTATATCATGATAAGATCCCCACATACCCAATATTCTATCTACTTAAGGGGGACTATACCACCATGGAAGCCTCGCAGGTATTCACGGAGCTTCGAACCTTGGACTTTTTGACGGCACGCTGATGCTTACAGGCAACCAAAGACAATCACCCACCAACTATCCCTTGTGGTCACTATGATGGGGTGCGGGGGTCACCTAATGCTAGGCAAGAGACCGATCGACCGATAGCGTGCTTGTCGCATCATATGCACTCTGGAACTTTGAATGCAAGGTGTAATAAACATTAAAGCCTTCTTACAATACGTAGCGGTTTTCATCCCGAAATTGTGAGCAGAAAGGCTATGGGGGCGAGGTCTACTCTTGATCAAGGTTTTGCCGCACCACCTTACGTCCTTGAAGTCCCAGATTTTTTTTATTTTTCGGCATGAACAGTAGTGAAGAAGCCTGAATACTTATCAACAGCATGCCGTAACAGCCCTTATACGAATATGTCGTCATATGCCGAGGGTTTCGTGGCTTAGCGATTTATGGCAGGAGCTAAACAGTCTCAACCTACCTCACCGCAAATTATGGCTTATACCGAGAATAGTCCCCATGTGTTTATATTAATTTCAAATTCTGCAATTGGTATAATTCAGAAGCAGGAAGAAGGACTGTCCTTGCACATGTGGGAACTTCTGACCCTGATAGCCCTTCGAGAATCGTGGGGATCCAAGTCTACGACCGATACCGACACTTTGAGCCCTAAAGTCTAGGACCCTAAACCCTAAACTGGTATCTGCTTTGGGCAAATGTGGATCCCTGAACTTGAGCAGAACCAACAAGCAGCTTTCCCCAATCATTGGAAAGTTTCTTACCTGAACTGAATGTCCTTCTTAACATTCAGGTTGTTCTTAACATGAAGCCGTCTATGTTGCTTCAAGCGGGCCAGCGTGATGATCTCAGAATCCCTATATGGTAGTTTCCATATGCATAGAGGCTGCAATATAATATAGATCCCACAAATACTATATACTACAATCCCTAATGATGGATACTATAGTTTCTGGAAACCACCTTTTATCTCCGGCGGGGGTCCTCAAGCGCGCCCCCCCCCAAAACCCAAAAACCTACATGGTAGTTTCAAGCTTCTCTTCCATGATCTCCCCCCTTGTTCGATAGAAAGTTTTCAAAGTATCCCAGGCCTTTGGCGGCCTTACAGGGCACCTGGAGATGTTCCAACAACTTTGTGGATGCTTCTGGTCAGCCAGATTGAGGTGGGTTAAGGGCTTAGGGTTTGGCATTTAGGGGTGGTTCTGCTAAGAGCTTGAGGTGTCCCTCTTAGACCCTAAACCCTAAACCTGCAGGGTTCTAGAAGAGTTGAAGGTTTAGGGCCGGAAGCTAGCCCTGAGGGTACCAGGACTCAAATAATGGGGTATTAGGGCCCAAATGCTATAGTCCGAATGGTATTTGGGACCTAAAGCCTAACATATGGGATATGGGACTTTTGGACCCTTACGGTAGGATTTTGGTAGCAATAGCTTGGAATTGCTTCAAATCAGGGATATACCTATTGAGATGTCCTACTATGCATAAACCCAAAACGCGAAAACCCAAACCCTAAACCCTGAACGTTATTCCCTAAACCCAAATCCATAAGCTCAGGTTCGCCTGGAGCAACTCTTCACGCGCGAATACCAGGCCGACTCTGCATCATGCAGGGTTTTAGGGTTTAGGACTTATGCTTTGGCGTGTAGGGTCTAGTGGGGTCTAGGGCTTAGGTTTGAGGGTTTTAGGTTCAAGGTCTAGGGCTGAGGGTTGAAGGTTCAGGGCTTATGGAGCTTTGGGCGGTCAGGGCTTCGCTGTAAACCCCAAGCCATCCAGGCTTAGGGTTTGGGCCTCGCGCCGCGGGATATGAAGGCTGCAGGGTTGAAACCCTGACGGTTTTGCTTTCGATGGTATGTATGGTACCCACTAATATTGGGGTTCTATTGGGATAATGGAAAATTAAATGGAAACTACAGGGATTATAGGGGTACCCAATATTGGGATCATGGAAAAGAAAATGGAAACTACTATAGTATAGGGTTTAGGTCTGAGTGTAGAGTTTTGGGGTTTAGGGTCAGGGTTGTGCCGCTAGGCCTTATTCTGGGGGCCCACAGAAAAGGGATTCATCATGTCCGGAAACCCCCATGAAGCACTGTGCAAAGATAAACCTTTTTGAGTGGAAATGCCGTTGAGGAATACACGTCACAGCAGCCATGTGAGGCATTTCCTATTTTTTATGATATAGGTGCCTATTGCCGCGTTCCCAGTGCAAGTACGGGCCCCTAAACCCCTAAACCCTCAACCCCAAACCCCTAAACCCAAAACGCCCACACTCTAAAACCCTAAACCCCAAACCCCCAACCCCAACCCTAAACCCCAAACCCCCAAACCCAAAACCCCTAAACTTTGAATGCTCCCCATTGTTGTATATCATAGTACATTGGGAATATTCAATATTAGGGGTGTGTGTGGGGTGTGGGGTGTGGGCGTCGGGTTCATGTTAGGGGGAGGGGATAAATCCCTAAACCCCCAACCCTAAATCTGGAAATAGGTCCTGCTTGGGATGCTGGGTTGGACTTTGGTCGGGGCTTTAGGGTTTTTAGGGTTTAGGATTTTAGGGTTTAGGAGTTAGGGTTATGAGTTTAGGATTCAGGGCTTAGGGTTTAGGGTTGAGGGGTTTAGGGTGCAGGGTTTCATACGATGCTTAACTGGCTTCGTGCTCGTTTTGCTTAGGCAACCTGGTGAGCTTCAAGACCAGTTGTTCGGGGTCTTTAGGGTTTAGGTAGAATAAAGGCCAGCGGTCCTTGGTCCCCCTATACCAAGCCCTGCCGTCACTGGAGGGCATCTTCCGAAGCACTTTCTACTTTAGGTGGACGCTCCACTCAGTAATAGCGGCAATGAGGAACAATGGTATCAACTATATACGGGTCTTCTCATATAAATCCCCGAACCCTAAACCCCTAAACCCTAAACCCCTAAACCCCTAAACCCCCATGTTACCCGTATTGCAGGGTGGTGGTCCACTAGAGTTCCTTCGTAGTTCAAACCCGCTGTCCAGTCACACGCTCTGGCCTGTAAGTGTAAATGTCGGAATATGTGCCAATCTTATTCCATTGTACCTAAACCCTAAAAGTATGTAAAATAATAGCCCTAAACCCATAAGAATAGCCCTAAAGGCCATTATTTTACATACTTTTTGGGCCCAGGTAGTCCTTAGATAGCTATACCAGAATCTCCACGAAAACCCTGCCTTATTTAAGCAGGCCCTCACAGTTTGCAGCCCACTCCACCACCCAACCGGCACGCTGCAACATGTTTGCCGGATCATGCGCAGTTGTGTGCACGCCTTCCGCTGCCTTTCTCTGCACTTAGGGCCTACGGCCCTAAAAGTATTAGAGCCTAGCCCCTGAACCCAAACCCATAAAACAAAAATACGCATATGCTCCAGGACCCCAGCCCCAAGCCTTGCCAAAGATTAAGGGAACTTCTAGGGCTCGACTGCTATCAAGCCTGCTTGAAAGCCCACACCCTAAACCCCACAACACTCTCCCCAGCCTCTAGCAATCCCCTAGCCACCTGGTCCTCCACCCTAAACGGTCCAATTACCCCGGCTTTACGGACGGCCAGGGAATTTACAGGTTTTGCCAACATGGGACAGCGTGCGTGCTCATGCGAGGATGCTGGGGAGAGCAAGGCGAAGCACAGCCAGGACAGTTTGATTTGGTCTAGGGTTTGGGGGTTTAGGGTTTGAGTGTATGCAATGTGCCCTAGACCCTCATGCCCAAACTGCAGATATGTAGGGGCTACGAGCCGTTGTTGCATGTCTTTACTCATGTTGCACGGGGCATGTTTTGGGACCGCCACACCAAACGCTGAACCCATGGCGCTGGCTAAACCATTTGAGCGCTATACATCCTACGTCTCTGAACCCTAGACTCGAAACCCTACACCCCAATGTTGAGTTCTTTTTAACACCAGGATCACGGCTCGGGGCACCTAATTCGGGGATGAAGGTGGTTACCAAAGAAACCCTGAACATTGAACCCTACACGTTGAACCCTGCAACCCTTCAACCTGAAAACCCTGGACTCTACTGAAGTCTGAACCCCTAAAACCCTTAACCCCTAAAAACCCTAAACCCCTAAAACCCTAGACTCTCAACCCTTAACCCTAAGACCCCAAAACCCTAAAGCCCGAATCCCCTTAACCCCTAAAACCTTAAAGCCCTAAAACATCCTAAAACCTAAAAACCCTCAAACCCTAAAACCGTAAGCCAAAATCTCGAACCTGCAGTCTCCTGAAAACTACAAGTCTGGGTGTCTGGATTTACTTTTTGGGTCCTGGAATCCGAGCATGGGGCTCAGAACGCAGAATTAGGGATTCAGGGTTTAGGCGTTTAGGGGTTGGGGGATTAGGGCTTAGGGATTTAGGGTTTGGGGTTCAGGCATTGTAGAGGGTTTACGCCTCCACGGTCTAGGGTTAAGGGGTTGTGATTCAGGGGCTGGGGAATTAAGTGTTTAGGGGGGTTGGGGTTTAGATTTGCTGGGGCTTCCCATTGAAAATCAGCATGAAAAACGCAACCTAAACACTTGCTCAATACAAGTGGGTCCAGAGTTTAGGGTCTTAGGGTTTAGAGTTTAGATTCAGAATTTAGGGCCTTCAAGACCAAGGGCTTCAGGGTTTGGATTCAGAGTCTCAGGCAGGTTTAGGGCCTTAGGGTTTAGGGTTGAGGCTTCAGGGTTGAGCCTTTCGGGTTGGCGTTGAGTAGGTTTCTGGGAAGGATAAGGATCCATGTGAATTTCTGAGAGCTACCCGTGAACCTGCAAGTACCTAAACCCCCAAAGTATGTAAAATAATGGCCCTAAACCCATAATAACAGCCATAAAGGCCATTATTTTACATACTTTTGGGGTCCAGGTAGTCTTCATGGAGGAAATCACACTGCCTTTGCTCTGCCTGCCTTTCTTGGACGTATGGGGTGTCTACTCCCTATGATACTCCTGCAATTTTTCGGGGGCAAAAAAAAGGGGGACCCCCTTTTCCGGGAAGATACCCAAATTGGGTGGTGGAATATTTCCCTGAGCCAAGCCAAGCCAAGCCTGTGAGGTCATGGTTGGATGCATTTTGGGGCTTAGGGATTAGGGTTGGCTGCGACTTACAGAAGAATTCCATCTAGGGTTCGGGGTTAAAGGGTTTATGGTTTATAAGGCCTTTATACCCGGCACTTGATTGGGAATGAGACTTCCACAACGATTCTGTCTACGGTTCGGGGTTAAAGGGTTCAGGGTGCAGGGCCTTCATACCCGTCACTGGATCCGGACTAAGGGTCAGTGGTATGATGAAGGGATCATGGTTCTGAGTTTGGCGCAGGTATGTATCTGACACCTAAACCCTAAGCCCTTAACCTTAAACCCTAGACCTGAACCTTAAACCCTAGACCCTGAACCCTAGACCCTGAACCCTAAACCCTAAACCCTAGACCCGAACGTTAAGCCCTAAACCCTGAACCCTAGACCCTAAACCTTAAACCCTAAACCCGAAGCCTCAACTGCACGACCAACCCTGAGGCGGATCCAGGAAAACTTACACCACTTAAGATCCACAATAGAAGATACTGTTATAGGGCTTTAAGGGTTCAGGGTTTAGGGCCCTAAACCCTTAAGCATGAACCCGAATCTCTACCTAAACCCTCAAAATAGGTAAAATCATGGCCCGAAACCCTTCAAAAACAACCCAAAAGGCCGTTGTTCGAGGTTCAGGTAGACCCTAAAATCCTAAAACCCTAAAACCCTAAACCCTTTGAAAGGTATGTAGTTGGGCAGCCAAAGCTGAGCCACGCAGGGTTAGCCGCTATCGTGGTATAAAGTAATGCAATTGGATTCCAGCTTGGCGCTCTACACCCACTGTTCCGTCAGACCTTTGCAGAAAATGGGCCCATGAGCATGGAGCCCCATCACTGTTCCCAGCAATCCCAAAATGGCCCCATCACGCAGCACGCAATCAAAAAAATCAGCCCCATCACTGTTCCAGTACCCTATGAAGTTCCGAAACGGTTTTGCAGCTGCACTTGTAGTCTATGCTTCATTTTCCTCCACCATATAGGATCCCATGAGCTCAGCGTTACCGTGTAGCTACCCTCAAACCTCGGTTTGGGGCACAGGGTTTAGGACATAGGGTTTAGGGCATAGGGTTTAGGGAGTAGGGTTTAGGGTTTAGGGAGCAGATTTGGGTTTGGGATGAGGGTTTAGGGTTTAGGGTCTACGGGGAGATGGTTGGTCTTCTCCGAAGTAGTCATGGCTATTGGAGCCATAGTCTAAAAGGTTATATAAGGGGATCATACATTCAGGGTTTAACGTCTAGGATTCAGGGCGAAGTTATTGTACCAAACTATTGATATCCTCTAGGTTCAGGGGTACTGTGGTTTCTGAAGGGTTCAAAGTCCTTTGTCTGATTCCCGATTTCCTGCCAACCAAGGCTCATTCCTCACGAGGAAGCATTTACTGGTCCATTGTTGGATATAACCTTTGACTAGATCCTTATACTACTGCCCCAGACGGAAGATGCAATTGACATGTTAAATATTATCACGATTGCCCCGTTTATGGTACTATGCCATGGATTGCCTGATATGATCGAAGGAGGAGGTGCTCAAC